AAAACTGCAACTGAATTTAATATTTCGACGAAATAGTTTCACTCTAGAGACTCGGATTATTATTGTGGTATAAAAGATTACATTATTTGATCATTTTTACATATTTCAAGTCTTGTCCACCACAACACTCCCCACAAAAAAGTAAAAAATGTACTTTACATCGTTATCAAATAATGTCTTTAATTTACAGTTACTTTCTACATTTTTCTCAGGTACGCACGGATGGAGTTTTAGCTCTGCGTTGTCAATTTATATAAATTAATTACGTATACGCGGCGAAGTCATTAATTTTCTCTTGAAAAATAATAAAAACCAAAAATATTTTGCATTTGTATTTTTTGACAAAGTTAAATTAAAGTAAATATCCATGTATTATCAATTGTTGTTTATTATAAAATATACTTTTTTATTTAGTTATCATTTAGAAATATCTAATTATTATAATAATAGTGTATAAAAACGTGTTCTATAATAATACGAAAAGAAAGGAGTTAAAATTCCAAAATTGCAACCGAATTTAAGACTTGGATGAAATAATTTCACTTTAGACTCTGGTTATTATTTTAGTATAGAATATTGCTCATTATTTCATCATTTTTATATTTTTCAAGGCTGATCCGCCTCAACACTCCCCACCAAAAAAAAGTATGCGTAAATGAAGGTACTATAGGTGATCTCTAGATTAGTTGAATATGTGCAACGAATAACTCATAGATCGATTTTATTGTCTGAAATAAAATCACTTTCGAAGAATAAAACATAAAAGTTGTTGGTTGATCAGCCAGGAGACAGAAATATGAGTGGAAGGATTTTGTTCTTTGGTGGAAATTATGTTATTGAGAAAAACGAAAAGCCCTTTTGGAAGTTAGGAGAACCATTCGGAGGACTGACTAGATACTTAGAAAATTTAAGTTAAATGCGTTAATTCCACAATATACAGCCAAAGTTTAACTTAAATACTGAAAAAAAAATGTAAAATTAACCATTAAAAATCAGAAAAGGCATACTGGGTCAGGTCGGGTCGGATCAGGTCAGGTTAAAACAGGTCAGAATTTAAACAACTGTTAAAAGTTGACGTCAAGGTAATTGTCAGTATTATCTCAAAATTTACAAAATATTAAATTCAAATTACGGTTCTGGTTTCTGTTACAATGGCAAAAAAATTGCTCCAAAGACAGAACTTCGAAAAATCGAAGAAATGAAAATCAAAAATCAAAAATTGAAATGAATAATCAAATATTTAAAAAATCGAAAATCGAAAATCCGAAAATCGATTAAAGTCAAAAAATCGAAAATTCGGAAAGTCGAAAACTCGGGAAATCGAAAACTGAACATTTAAAAAATGGAAAAGCTAAAAATTGAAGCAGAAAAAATCGGAGAATCGAAAATCGAAAAATCAAAAATAGAAATATATAAATTCTATGAATCAGATATTCGAAAAATCGAAGCTTCGGGGTCGAAAAATTGGAAAATCGAAAATTCAATCAGTTGAAAACTCAAAATCTCGAAAAATCGAAAAATGGAAAATTAGATTAGCCGAATATTCGAAAAATCGAAAGTCAAAAAACCTAAAAATCGAAAACTTGAAACATGGAAAAATCGAAGAAATAAAAATTAAAAATCAAAAATAAAAAAATATAAATTCTATGAATCAAAGATTTAAAAAATCAAAACTTGGGGGTCGAAAAATTGAAAAATCGAAAATTGAAACAGTTGAAAAATCGAAAATCGAAAAATCGAAAACTTGAGATTTTGAAAACTTGGACATTAAAAAAAATGGAAAAATCTAAAAATTGAAGCATTACCTAAAAAATGGAACAATCGATAATCGAAAAATCAAAATTCTATGAATCAAATATTCGAAAAATTGAAAATTCGAAAAACTGAAAACTCGGGAACACGAAATTTTGAAAAGTAAAAAAATAAGTCCTAAAACTGAAACAAGGAAAAATCGGAGAATTGAAAATCGAAAAATCAGAAATAGAAAAATCTGAATTCTAAATATTCCAAAAATAGAAACTTCGGTGTCGAAAAATCGAAAAATTGAAAAATCGAAGATTCGAAATTTCGAAAAATGGAAAATTCGATTAAAGTCAAAAAATCGAGAATTCGGAAAATCAAACCTGAAGTCAATAGTAATAGATATCGGTTAGATGAAACACTTGGCAACACCTTTTTGGAATTATAATTAAAAATCACCGCGGATTCATAAACCACAAGTATAGGAGTATGTTATTTTATAAAATTTAAGTAGTATTCGCTAAGCCAGATACAGGTATACTTACTCTAACAACACTCCATCCGGTAGTTTCAAAGATTATCTCTCTAATAAAAATCGGCGTCGCCAGTAAACAGACACACAAAAGAAAAACCTATTGTTTCGTACTCTAGAGGTCATAAAATGTAGAGAAAATATGAAATTACAATACTTCCTCAGCTTACGCTCAAGAAATAATTAGAATCTCTAAAAACATGTTATCAAGCTAATAAATACTTCATTCAAATCAAAGCATTAGTTTTAAATAGCTACCATTTCAAATATCGCTCATATAGTTACTGTTTCCAGTTGATTCATTGCTTGTCATTGTTAAGAACACTTGAAACATCCGTAACTAAAGGATTATGTGTTGTTTCAAATAAATCCAGAGAATATTGACTGTTGTCGATAGCAGCAGATAATCAACGGGAAAAAATATATTATTCATGCTTAGCTTCGATTGTTTATGTTTATACATCGAAAGAATGCGACGATTAAGCACGTAGCAACTGTCTCCTCAAAACACGTTATAAATACATATTAATAATAACACAACTATTAATTAAGCTACAATGGAGCAAAATATTCTGGAGGTTATTTTGGGTGAGTAGTAGTTATTATTATGCAGATGTTTCTAAAACTCTGAGGCCTAATATTTTGAGAACGAAAAAATATATTGAAATTGTACTTATTTTAGCATATGTTTGAACTGTCATAAAATAGTGGTAGTTTTTTATTTCACCCAAATGTTATTTTTCTATGTTTAAAAATTTTATTTATTTTATCAACTGAAAATGAAAATATATAAATATAAAATATCAAAGTGTTGTACATGTACATTGCAATCTAAAAAAAATAGGTTTGCGTCACAATGTTTCATATTTGCAGTATGCTAAATTAAGCTTCCACCTTCAAACTAAAAATAATGGCGTTTACAGAATTTCAATATCTCTGAAGGTACAAGACCGTGGAATTTTAGCTGAAACACTCTGCATATTTTCGAGAAAATGCCGTTTTGATTTGATCAATAAAAAATTTACGACCCATGAGCCAATCGAACCAGCAACCTTCGCGTCAGTAATTCAACATTTTTACGAGTCAACCTCGGAGGTTTCCACATATCAGAGCTCTTCAACTAGTATAAAATGTGATTATGCAATATTCTGTGAAAATCTAGATATTTTGGATAAAATAATTAAGGCGGATTCATAAACCACAGGTATAGGAATATGTTATTTTAAAAAATTTAAGTACCATTTTCTAAAAAATATTGAGGAACGTCATCAAATTATTATTGGTGGAGACAAATATTCAAACTTTGACAATTATCGGTTGGAAGACCTATTTTTTCGTACTGTAGAGGTCATGAAACGTAAATAAAACATGAAAGCAGCTAATGCTCGAGAAATAAAAACAAGTTAGACTACTTACTTACATTTTTTATATTTGTTAAATATCATTCTATTAATTAATTCACTCAAATGAAAAAATAAGCATTTTTAGATACAAGACAATTTTCAGAGAATTTAAACACTTGTTTAGTTATTACAAAACAGCGATTTTAAACACAGTAATACAATACACCGCAAAAACCTTAAATTTTTAAACATTTTTAACCTTAAACATGTGCTGTTATTGAGTTATTGTAAAGAAAAATCATTATTAGCAGTTGTTAAGTTGATAAAACCAAAAATAGTACCTTTATATGACAATCTTATCATCTAATGGAGTATTCTATTGTGTTTATGATTATCACGCTGATGATCTATAAAGATAGCTAGTTCTTCCAAACAAATCTGGTTTGTTAACAAAACAAAGTTATGTATTGCTTTTGAGGTTAAGTATCGTTTTCCTGTGAAATATATAAAATTAATTAATTACATACAACTGACTAAAACATCTCTACATTATCTTACGGATGGAAAATTTTCTACTTTTATACCTATTTATATTTCTTTATCACTTGTCGAGAAATGGAAAATGACGAGTATGTTTTGAGTTCCCAATTTAACGCATTGTATTTTTCTAATAATTTATAAATTAAAACTAAGTACACCTACTAAATAAACAAGCTTTTGACAAATGTTAAATATAGCTCCGGAAGTTTACTCCGGCATATTTATCCTCACTACAATCGATCGCTTAATAATAATATAAACCATGGAAATAACAACTCTTTAATAATGAAATGAACAGTCACTTCTATATTCTTCTCACATTTTGGGTTTTTTTGGTATCCGCAAAAATACCCGTCCTACTCTTATTAAAAATACTACGCCAAAATAAGAACTTGGATACAAACCGAAAAAAAGTACGTAAATAAAATATGGAGCCACCCGTGGGGATATTTTTAGCAAATCGATTTGAATAACTGAGTATACGTCTTAAAACATTGAAGATTTCGGAGAACGAAAATCAATGCTAAATGTGGTTGGTTACTACTTCGCTTGCTAATTTAGGAAAGTGCTTCTGGAATATACAGTGACATCTGTCCGCAAGCGCGCGGAGTAAAGTTTCAGTGGCGGTTACAGGAAGTTAATTTTTAGCTGTTGATTAGATTAGAGATCTACTTCTCTAGAACTTTAAGTACAATTTTTTAATGACTCATTTATACTGCCATCTAGTAAATACTTTTTTAATTAATAGCTTAAATCGTTTATTTTCATAAACAGACTTAAATAACAACTACAAACTTAAATTAAATTATGTTTATTAAACGTATGCTAAAACGTACACATCTAAGTCTAAATTACAATAAAAGAAAACGAAACTGTTTATAATGAACCTTCCAAATAGTCAATATCGTCGCACCACAATTTGTACTAAAATTTTGTATAAGAAAGAATACATGGACGACTGTTAAATCGATATTAACTATTCATACACTCTTAACTTCATTTGTTGTTTCATAACCTCAACCAATGTTAAACAGCCTTTAAAAAAATACTAAAATCACAATAGGTGTTGTCACGTAAACATCTTAAAATAAATCACAGTATAGCAACAAATAAATATACAATGAAAACGACAACAATGAATCTTGATGCAATTAAATAAGTAGAGTGGGTGACAAATTTGAACTAAATCAAGCCTCATCTAGTACATTCGTGAAAATCTCCATACGTAAAAAGGCTTCTGAGAGTGTTCAACATGTCCGATATTCGCAGGAGGAACAGGATTATGGTGAATCATATTTCTGGCTGACTGTAACCTTCTCATTTTCTTAATTCTCTAAAAACGTTAAACCGTTTGGTCAAAAATCCTAGATTATCGTGAAAATGCAGCTACTAAATACTTGCGTTGCGTAGCAGGTGAACCCCTGAATAGTCGTGCTAAAGTGAAGTGAATATCAACCGTGGCTGGTTAAACTACAAACAACATACTATTTTTTACTCCGCTTTACATACTACACCAGCCATAGTCGCTTCTGTCGACTCTAGAAATGCCAAATGCAAATCAAAACATGCGTGAAATATGACAAAAGCGTTATTGTGATTTGTGGTGCCAATGATTAAAGCCAATGCGCTATTGCACCTTTGCCCTGCGTTTTCTGCACTTGCACTTGTGTTTCCCATGGGTTATCCTATCATGATTTGATGCAAGAGGCTCATTTTTTGGCGATAAAGCTGTTTTGTTAGTTAGTTCTTCCTCAGGGCTACCTACATTCAGACTGTTTCTCTCTTCAGCCGGCGAGGGGGCGCTGTGGTCGGATGGCGCGTTATTGCTGTCTTTTTCGTGTGCTACTTTGCTGGCGTTTTCAGGTGTTCCGTTCAGGAGTTTAGCTATTGGACTAAATTTGGCAGAAATGAGAAAAACGAAGGGAAATTTATGCAAGTAGGTACCTTTTTGCCACTTGACAATAATACTGGACTAAATAGCGACGGGAACACTGAGATCGACAACATTCTTCCACGATTTGTCTGCGGATTCTGTTGCGCCCTGAAAAAACAAAAACTAGAATCGTCGAAAAACAACTTGTGAAAGTGAAATGATCAAATTTTGCACTAAACTATACAAAGAGCTTAGAATGAGGCAATAAAACTTATGATAATACAACAGACCAAAAAATTTATAGTAATTTTGTCATCAAAATAAAAAAAAATGTTTCCTTTAAAGCGATATTCCAAATTAAAAACAGAAGTATAGTGACCTCGATAAGATGAAATCTCTTTTACCATAAAAAACTTAGTTATCGCAACTTCGAGCGCTCAAGGCTGTAAAGATGTAACTAAATTAGACCGAGATTTTTGTACTATAGATTGACGCAAAATTATATTTATTTATTTGCACGAAATTGATTAACAAAAAGCGACACACAGTTCAAGTAAATTTGAATCGGAAATCTCGTATCTGTTAGATTGTTATCAGTTTATTTTAAAAGCGGTAGTAATTTTACATATTTTAATGTTGTTTTAAAATTTATGTAGTATGTTTCTGGTGGCTTTTTACTATTCTTACTTTTGATTATGAACAAATCGTCACTTGTAGCATCATGAATTGGGAAATTCATTCTCTATTATTTAAAATTAGCGAATGCGTCCTTTTCATGAGCAAATTTTTTACAAGTCTTTTTATTTAACGTCAAGATCTATATTTTAGAATTGTTCCAGCATTTCTAGACAACTTTTCAAAAACCTCAAATTTCATTTTCAAACCGATTTTCCATAAGTTTTGATCGTGAACCATTAACACTTTATGCTTTTCAAATTAGCTCGTCGAGATATGTATTCCAGAATTTTTTGAGAATTTTTGGCAATTTTTCAAAAATCGCAATTTTTTAATGAATTTTTTAACATTCTTCGAGATTTCGAGACATTAAAAAAAAACGAATTTTCCGAAAATATTGGAGGATCGTTAACAACTTATGTTTTTCCAGTCAGTTAGTGCAAATCTATTTCCAAGAATTGTTTGAGGATTTTTAGACAACTTTTCAAAATGTTCATTTTCAAACCAAATTTTTCCAAAATCTTGGTCCGGAACCATTAACACTTTATGTTTTACAAGTCACTTAGTCGAAATCTATATACCACAATAGTTTAAGGATTTTAGGCAACTCTCAGTTTTTCAATGAATTTTTTGAGCGTGTTAGCAAATCTCGATTTATTTGAATGATTATAAAAACTGAGAATTCAAATTTTAAATCGAATTATTTGAAATTCTTGCTCGGGGACCACGGACACATTTTTTTTTATTTCAAACCAAATTTTTCGAAATTCTTGGTCCAGCACCATGACCCTTTACGTTTTTCAAATCAGCTCATTGAGATCTATACATCATAGTTTTTTGCGGATTTTATAGCCAACTTTTCCAAAATCTCAATTTTCTAATGAATTTTTTGAACATTTTTCGAAATTTCGAGATACATAGGTATTAAAAACAATCATTTTCAAATCGAATTTTTCGAAAATCTTGGTCAATGAACACTATGTTTTTCGAATCAGCGAGTCCAGACCTATTTCCGAGAATTAGATAATTTTTAGCTGACTTTTCAAAAATTTCATTTTTCAAATTTTTCAAAAATCTTGGTCCGGAACCATTAAGACATTAAGAATTTTTTGACCGTGTCACGAAATTTCGATTTAATTAATAATTAAAAAAAAATCAGAATTTAAATTTCAAATCAAATTATTCGAGATTCTTGCCCCGGGACCATGGACACGTTTTTCGAATTAGCTCGTCAAGATTTTTAGAGATGTTTTAGACAATTATTCAAAATTTTTATTTCAAACCAAATTTTTTCAAATTCTTGGTCCAGAACCTTTTACGTTTTTGGAATCAGCTCGTCGAGATCGGAATCCCAGAAGTTTTTAAGGATTTTATAACCAACTTTCCAAAAATCTCAATTTTTCAATGAAATTTTTCAAGGTTTTTCGAAATCTCGAGATATTTAAAAATTCATTTTCAAACCAAATTTTTCGTAAATTTTGTTCGTGGGCCATTAACACTTTTATATTTTTCAAATTAGTCCTTCGAAATCTATATCCCAGAATTTTTAAGAATTTTTGAGCAATTTTTCAGAAACTTTAGTTTTTCGAGATTTCGAGACATTAAGGAAAAAATCATTTTCAAATCGCATTTTTGAAAATCTTGTTTTTTGTGTTCTTTGAATCAGCTAATCGAGATCTACATTCCAGAATTTTTTGAGGATTTTTTATACAACTTTTCAAAAATCGCAATTTTTCATTGAATTTTTGTACCATTTCCATTTTTCAGTGAATTTTTGCCCTTTTTCGAAATGTGGAGATAATGAAAAAGTGCTTCGTAAATTTTGGTCGTGGAACATTGAACACTCTATGTTTTTCAAATCAGCTCCTCGAAATCTTTCTCTCAGAATTGTTTGAAGATTTTTAGATAACTATCACAACTTTCATTTTTAAACCAAATTTTTCAAAAATTTTGATCTGGCATCATTAACACTATCTTTTTCGAATCAGCTGGGCGAAACCTACATCGTGGTATTTTTTGAAGGTTTTTAAGCAACATTGCAAAAATCTTTGTTTTTCAATGAATTTTTGGACCGTTTTTCAAAATTTCGAAACAAAAATCATTTCAAACGGAATTTTTTGAAATTCTTATTCGAATTTTCTTACATTAACATTTCATGTTTTTGGACTCAGCTCGTCGAGATCTATATCCCAGAATTTGTTGAGGATGTTTAGGCAATTTTTTAAAAATCTCGATTTTTCAATTAATTTTTTGACCCTATTCCGAGATTTCGAGATATTTAATGTATTTTTTTATTACTTTTTGCCGCCTTTCCAGTGAATTTTTTACTTCCTAAATTTGTAATTGTAATCTGTATTTATTTATTTTCAAAATTTTTTGTTTGGTTAACATTTTACGATTTTGCCGACATTTTTAAAATTCATAATTTCATATTGGTGTAATAGATTCAGAAACTGTTTGTCTAAAAATCGTCAACAAACAAACTATCGCAGATGACAACAGAAAACCGACATTTTCGAATTCTACTAACAATTATTTTTATTTAAAAATTAGAACTATAGGGATGTTCTCCATTCGAATAATAATAATTAAAATTACAAAATAATTTAAGATAAATTTTATAACAAAAATTGTACATTGTTGAATATTGTGAATGATAGCATTATTTATTTTTTTATCAGTGCTGGTATGTAAAATAGATAGAGTTTGAAGTTATATTTATTTTTCTGCATAATTCAGGATAGAGTGATGCTTTTTGTTAAAATTAAGAATACAACATAGCCCACTACAACTTTTTTTTTCGTTCACGATTTGCTTTTTATATGCCCTTTTTAGATTTTTAAACTTTATTTTGAGAAAAGCACTTTTGCTAAACATCAATAATCTCGACAATAATATCGGGTGATTTTTTAAATTTCCGCTCTAGTTAGTCATAACGCTTACGTCAGCCGTTTCAATTAGCTCAAAAAGAAATCTGTCGCAATAATCGAAGCTGCAAATTGGCTTGTTATTGTGATTTAAGTACGAGTACGTTAACCTACCACTAATTATTAAGTTTCCACCTAAATTATTTTTAGTGACGTATCGAAGTTTCATCACCGTTTTTATGTACATACTTATTTAAATTTTTCACGGTTACTCACTTCGTGTGTAAACAAATAAACAAAAATAGCTTTATCGAACAGTAAAATTAACGTTCCTTCTCGTAGTACACACCGAGGTCTCGAAAGTCCGTAAATTTCCCCCAACACGCTAGCAGAATATCTATATTTACTTAAGCAGACAATTAATAAGAATGCCACGTCCCACCGACACCCGTAACTGTACTTACCAAAGGTCGGATTGTTGTAAATCGAACATAATTCAGTCAACGTCCTGACCAATTTTTTCCCACAGAAATATTCCTTCGAGTCTATGTTGGCTTGCATCTGGCCAAACAACATCACGAGACACAAAATCTGCATCCATGCTTTTGGCACGTTCATTTTTAAGTCACCTGAAAACAAATAATATTTCCCACTTATTGAGATCCATTTATACCCTGTATTAAATTTCGTATGGGTGTTATGTTACCATGGAACCTATACATTCTGACAAAAGTACCCCCGATTTAAAATTGAAATTGTTAATCTATGCGGGTTATTGAAGACGAACTGTGTTATGAGAACGTGTATTGTGAAAACAGTTGTGCGAGAAAGGGTTGCTGATAGAAAATCGCTATCAATTTGAGTTGGTGGTAATTGAAACAATTCTGCTGCTGGTGAAAATTGAATAATGTTAGAATTACGAATCCTACGAATTAGTAGGAGTGATTTAAATAGATGCGAATTGTCGTGATAAATCTTCTAGTCCATTTGCATGTAATTTTAAGTGAGATTTATTTTAAAGAGTGCACGCTATAGTTTTAACTTTTTCAATATGTTACGATAATGACCAAGCCCACTCACGAATTGGGCAAAAGTTTTGCCGACGACCAATTAAAATCCTGGTATACAATTGAAGTGCGATATCACAACTTTGCTTATTTTTGCGACAAAGATAACACCTCATCAATTATCAAATTTCCTAAGACTATAATATTATCAAAATTGCTTACCGATCTTCCTAGCTTTTTTCGGCACACATTAGATTTAAATCAATTGTTACACAGAGATTACTCTGACCACGTTCTCGAGTAACGCACTGACCATCACTGACAAAGAACCCAGAGAAGACAGTTGTCGCTTAAAATTTTGCATGCAGCTACTTTCGAAAAGAGGGATGAATGCTAACTCTGCCACATTTATAATCACTCGGGTTATAAATAGCTTTGCGGTCTTAGGATGATACAAATTTAGTATAGCATTTTACATGAATGATTAGGAACTGAAGATACAGCGTTTATCTACGAGATTTATGAAATAGTGTCGTATTTACTTAACCTCTTAAGTGAGTACTCGTTTCTTGGGTGATACCTGCAGAGATTGTTCTTTTTCGATCCCAAAAACTTTATTTGTTTTATTATTATCATGCCAAACCTCCTCGTCTCATTCTCTTGAGCCGCTACCCAGGAAGCTATAAAAGTCAAATTAGCAACATCGTCGTAAAACGAACTGAAATAGATTAAGCTGATAAGTCGTTGCGCTAAAAGTGTTGCCACCAATAGTGATAAAGCAAAAAACAAGAACAACACACCACTTCTGCAATAATATTTTGATTTTTGTTTTTTTATTCGTCACTCTTTTAATAACACTCTCCTATTTTGACACAGTTTTCAATTTGATAAGTGATTATCAATTTCGACATCGATCAAATAATCTTGTTTCTTCCGGAGTTCGCGCATTTTTTATCTCTTGCGTTAGATTCTTGAAAATACACCACTGTGCAGTTGACAGTATCTTAATAGGTCAAATTAGGTCAGGGGCAGTATTCAGAACCTAATATTACAGCGAGTCGGAGGGTCACACAAAGTGCAATTTTCGTACTCCAACGCGAGAGGCGGACTCTATTATTGTCAAAAGGCCAGACAAGTCGACCTGAAAAGGCAGACGGTTGATAAAAGTCGTTTTAAAAACACGTTCTCGTGATCAGTATCTTTATGGGTTTATGTAAAGTGAGGTAGGCAATTTGGGCTTGGCAGGGAAAAATGAGTGTTCACGAAAATCGCGTTCCTCCGACAAGTTGGGCAGTGCTTGTCGAGAAAATATCGTTTGATAATAGTGTTAAAAATAGGAGGGTATTAGCTGTCACGGCCTTTGCAAAAAAAACAGTCTGAGTTAGAATATTTTTAAAAAGAACTTTGACACTGCATATCCACCAGATCTTCAGATTTGTTGCCATGTGACCTTTTTGTCTGGCATATAAGTTATCTTGTTACCACTAAGTGGTACTTTATAACTAACGTTGAAAATATTTTTGATAAGTTTCGCAAGCTCATTATTTTTTCAAATCTAGGGTCAGTGAAAAGAAATGCAAAAAGCACCAAAAATGACTCCTCTGAAACTCTTAAATACAGGGTGTTTAAAAAAAACATTGACTTAGTCTATTAACTTAACAAATGTTAAAACTATATCATAAAAAACCGGATTTCCTCATAGATCCTGTTTAGGCCCATTATTATTTTTCATTAACGATTTTGTAAGCAATAATGAAGGCAAACGTCCTTTACAAAAAAAATCAATCCACTAACTACTTGGTCCTATTTAATTAGCTTAGAATCAATCGGGATAAATGTTGCGTCATATCGTATCTGAAACGTAAAGAACCGTAAAGGATCCTTTGTAATTTTGACAGAAAATTAACTATTGCGAACTATTTTGGTAGACATGACATGCACTTTTGCCACCAGATTACTCAGCTTTGGAATGAGAACTCGTAAAATATTCAGACTGACTAAAATAGGTTTATTCTTAGTAAAATGAAATATGCTTCCGTGTTTACGATAAGCGTCAATTAACGAAAATAGTTACAAATAGTTAAAATGTATCTAATTTTTGACGAAATCACCAAAATTTTTGTCTATACGAATAAGAAGATTGATATTCACTGTTTTTAGCAATATTTATTTACGTTTTCACGGATATCTTAACTAATTTGTGTTATTGTCCTATAAATGGAATAATCTGTTCAGCAATAAATTTGTTATTAAACAAAAATAAAACGTCAAAATTTTGAAAAATTAACTATTTTTTGTAGTTTTTTGTCATTGTATCAAATTTCTGTTCTGCTCTGGTGTTGATGTTATATCTAACTGTTTGTGTGACTAAAAGAAATAAATAATAGTGTCTACTTGATGGTAAGCAAGCAATGTCCATAACAATAACTGACTTTACAAAACGAAAAAATTCTAATCTAGGTTTGTTCTGGAGCATATGTAACAATCTATGATTTTTATGTGTGTTAGTAAACTTAAACAACGCGTCTATAAATTTTTCTAGTATCAAAGGAAGCTTTAAAATGTCAAAAAATATGCCTCTCTGTGAAAACAAGACGGTAAAATAGCGAACAAAAAGATTCCAAAGGCATCTTGATACCAGAAACGTCTATGAACACGTTTATTGCAAAGATATTCTTCTTTTGTATTTCTTTTCGTTTAATTTATTAATTCTTTTAGATACCACACTAAAGAATTGCTCCAAATTCCGCTTCTTTAAAAAATTATAGAAAATTTATGTTTTCTGATAACCTTTACATAGCAAAAACAAGTGGTGCAAATTCCAAGGAGATGCCGTCCGCAGATATGCAGACAATATGAAATGTATTCAAAGCAAATAACCAACGGAAAAGAGTGTATTATTATCAGTGTACATGCTTAACTTCGATTGTTTATGTTTATTCATCGAAAGAATGTCCCGTAGATTTTCATTTTGTGATAACCCCTTCAAAGTAAAAAACAAGGCATAAATAACACCCCTTGTCCTCCAACACTAGGTAATAGCAATCTGACGCTCAAGTGTTTGTTTATGTTTATACATCGAAAGAATGTCACGTAGAAATTAAGTCACAGCGTTATACCAAGAAAAAAAAAAGAAAGGGCCAACCGTGTCGGGAATAAAACATTATTATATCTTGCAAATGTTTTTGGGAAAATTTGAACGTTTAGCGAAAAAACTGAAAGCGGATTCGTACACTACAAGTATATGAGTATATTTTTGTGTAACATTCAAATCATTTTAAAATACTATTCATTGAAATGACGTCATCAAATTGTTGGTGGGGATGAATAGCAAAATTTTGGATAGCATTTAACCATCTACATGTTATTTGTATAATACACATACAAAATTTGACAACAATCGATCCAGTTTCAGAGATTACGTGTCTAATAAAAATGGATACAGACACCAGAAAGACAGACAGACAGACAGATGGAAACGGGAGACTGCTTTTTTCATACTGTAGCGGTCATGAAAGGTCGAGGAAACATAAAAGTGGTTATATGGAAAGTAATAATAATTTACTTAAAGATAATTCTAACGTTTTCTGTAGATATTTGTTCTAAATACGTTTCTATGCATAACAAATTAATGATAATAATAATATCGATTCAGATATTTTCAGTTGTTGAAATAATACTTTTGAATTTGAATCTGTCAGATCTAAAAATAAAATTGTGTCATAAAAGTCATATTTTTACTTCCTAAGCGTAAGCTAAGTATTGTAATCGAGTCCACTGGACGACTGGCTACTTTTATGTTGTCTCGACGTTTTGTGATCCCTAAAGCGCGTCTATCCGTCCATCTGTTTGTTTGTCGTCTACCGTCTTAGGCAGATAATCTTCGAAACTACTGGACCGATTGTTGTGTAATTTTATGTGAGAAGTCGAAAGTCGAAAATGAAAAGCCGAAAAGTAAAAAACTGAAAAAACGAATTTCGAAAAATCGGAAATGCCAAAAATCGAAAATCGAAAATTGAGAAAATGAAACTTCGAGGAATCGAAAATCGAGTGATTGAAATTTCGAAAAAACGAATATCCAAAGAACCGAAACTAGGCAAATCTAAAAATTGAAAATCGAAAAACTGAAAAATCAAAAATTCGAAACTCGAGATTAAGAAAAATCGAAAAATCCAAGCATCGAAATATAGAAAATGCGAAATATTGAAAGTCTAAATCGAACAGTCGAAAAATGTAAAAATTCAAAAAATTAAAAAATCGAGAAATTGAAAAAGCAAAAATTAAAAAAAATTGAAAATTCGAATTTCGAAAACTGATCAATTTGAAAGTCGAAAATTCGATAAGTAGAAAGTCGAAAAATTGAAAATTCGATGAAACAAATATTCGAAAAATCGAAAAGCCGGAAAAAATGAAAAATGGAGAAAATGAAAAAGCGAATTGTAAACAATTGGAAAATAGAATTTCGAAAATAAATATGGAAAAATCAAATATTGAAAAATCGAAAAACTGAGAATAGAACTGAAAAATTGAGTATGGAAAATCGAAAATGGAGAAATTGAAAAATCGAAAAACTGAAGAATGAAAAAACTGAAAAATTGCAAATTCGAAAAATAAAATATTAAGGAGTAGAAAGATTGCAAACTCGAGAAATCAAAAAACCGGGAAGTAAAAAAAATTGAAAAATCTAAAAACTGAGAATGCTAACCAAAAAAAATTTGTAAATATAACTTTGCAACTGCAAAACCGAATCCTCTGAAATTTTGCAAACATTTTAAAGTTATAGA